TTGGGATTAAAGGCATGTGTCACCATGCCTGGCTGTTTCCAATGTGGCCTTAAACTCACAGAGATCCAGAGGGATTTCTACCTCTGGAATGCTACGATAAAGGTGTGAGTGCCACCATTTTCTAGCCTTTGTATCTAGTGGCTGTTCTGTCTCTGAACCCAGATAAGTTTATTATGGTGCAAAATATTGGGGAATACAATACCACCACAGAAGACAGTTGTTTGGCTCGAACTGCTTGGGAGGCACCCAGGCAGGGGGATCAGGATCTATTCCTGATGCATGGGAAGGCTTTTGTGAATATGGTGCCTGTGGAGTGATGCCTTGTGCAGCCTTGGTACAGTGGGAAGGGGCTTGGACCTGACTCAGCTCAGTGTGCAGGGCTCTGCTGCCTCCCCATGGGAGACCTTGACTTGGGGGATGTGGGGATGTGAGGTGGCTTGGGATGGAGGGCTGGGAGGTGGGAGGAGGGAGCAGGTAGGATCTGTGGGTGGTATGTAGAGTGAGTACAAAATTTCTTAATGCAGAAAAATGAAAAAAAAAGAATAACTGCTCCAGCTACTGTCCCACTGCACACCAGATCCATCAACCCACTTCCTGTTCAGCTGCCTTCAAAGGAAGGGGCAGTATACTTTTTCCAAATTGCAAAGCCACTTCAGCTATGGTTTCATATTGCCCTGACCTCAGAGGATGCCTGTTGCCAAAGCTGCAACTACATTTGACTTGGCAACAACCAGCAGTCCTTTGTTTTGTGTCCTGCTTGTCCATTTTGGACAGCATACTGTCAGCAGTTGACTCAAGGGTGCTTTCTTACCCAGTGGTTAACTTTGCCACAATGAAAATTAACTCCATGTGGAGGTTCTTCAATACCTATATCTTCTCTGAAGTAGATTGGTGCTGCCAGGAGCAGACATGTCTCAAAGTCATAAAAAAGAAAAAAATCTATGTTATTAAAACATCTTAAATGCCATATTAAATGTAAATCTCTGAAGGGTTTGAAGATGAGCCGTCTATCTAAAATATATCTCTGCTTTACCTTGCAAACATACCTAGTATGATTACAATTCGATTGTACTGACTACTAACTTACCTTTCTTTATATCCTAATAGTTGGTAATGATAAATTTCAAGGATTAGCAAATTGCATTATATTTTTAAATGAACTGTATAGGTACAATACCATGAACAAGATTAGAAATATATGTACAATATATTCTAACAAAATCAACCTGAAATTTGTAGCAATATACATAATTTGTATACAATATACAAAAATCTAATCCAATATAAAATATTTAAAACTAGTAGTTGCTTTCTAAAACTAGATTCAATAATCCAATTTTTTATCTTATCAAATCTATATAAATCAATCAAAAATTTGCAGCAATATGCATAATTTGTATATAATATACAACAATCCAAACCAATGTAAAATATTTAAAAGTAGTAGTTGCCTTTTAAAAGTCGATTCAATAATATATCTTTTTATCTATTGCTTCTCTTTTTTTGTTTCAGAGTAGATTCAATAACCTACCCTTTATTCTATCATTTCTATATTTTTTTCAGAGTATATTCAATAATCTACCTCTTATCTATAGCCTCTTCTTTTCAAACAAGAACCTTAAATCTAATCTCCGTTGGTTAGCCTTTGTCCCGACCATTAACAATAGCAACTTGTAACCAACCATCCTAAACAATGACAATCATCCAAAACCCATGGAAAGACCAAAGACCAAACCCCCAACTCTTGGGAATATGGGTGTCATGTTCTTAAAATTACTTCCTGATTTTTGGGGGTGAAGGCATCTTTAAGGGACCCTGAAAAGAAAAACTTTCAGTTAATTGTCAAATCCTGGGAATATCATTTGTTGTCTAGTCTCTACATAATGTAAAAATGCAGGGCTTATCTCAAGTCTTTTTTTGAGTAGTCTGTAAGGCTGGATCATGTCAACTAGACATCTTGAAATTGTTGTCAGAAGTTTGTAGAACAAAGCTGATCTTTGGGTGATGTTTGTCAGCTTAGTGGTATTATTGTTGTGGGACCCCATCATCTTTTTGGAGATCTCAAAGTTGCTTTTAGGTGTGGTCATGATTCCCTGCAGAAAAATGATGGAGACTCAAACATGAAAACATGTGCAGGTAGCTACATGAAGCCTTTTTTTCTAGAATCAGTACACTATATGACTATTAATAGCATAACAAGAGTTTAAAATATACATATATAAATATTATAAATTTTGATATAAAACTCATACCTTAAGAAGAGTTTTAAGAATCAAAATAAAACCAAAGAATTTAGATTAGTGACAATAGAATAGTACCTTAATTTTAGTTTTCTTGTGTACCATATCAGATGGCTCATCTGACATGATACAGAGATTTTGGATTTTCCTTTTAACTAGCATGCTTGGGTTTAGAGAAAGAGAGAGCCATGATGCAACTCCAAAGCCACTTCAGTTTTTAATTGAACTGGAAATACATAAATAACATTTGTGTTATGTGTCTGTAGAGAAGAGCAGAAACAAATATTTAGTAAAACTTATGAAAATTTATATGTGATGTATCAATAGGCCAATTAATTTTTTTATTGGGACATTTATTCTGGATAATTTGTCCTTTTTCTTCTGATGTCTTATTTGTCCAGTGTTCTTCAGATTCCTTAGCCTTCATTCCCCTGAAAGATAAAAACAAAAACCTTTCCCCAACCCTAGCTTCCCTTTTGGTAAGCTATATTTGATTAAATGAAAAGCATTTGTTAGTGCTATATGTTAATTTTAAATTGATGGTCATGCTGGTTGATGAACTATTGTCTCTTCTAATTAAGAGGTCTCTCTTGCTCAAATCAAAATTTATCAATTCTGATGGTATCCATAGCTTATCTTCTCCTGTAGAAACAAAAGCAAAACCTCGTCCCCAATGTAATACATATCCTGTTTTCCATTCTGAGGTCAGCACATCTTTAAAACATATAGGCTGATTTAATTCTGTGGGTTTTTTCTATTACCCAATGTCTCTCTGCAGCTGCTATTCCTTTCTCATTAGCATTGAGAAAATTCAAAGTTAATAGAGCAATATGTAATCTATTTTGGGAGGGGGTTGTTACCCCTTTCTGTTTATTTAGCATATTCTTTAGAGTTCGATTTGACTTTCTACAAATGCATGGCCTGTAGGATTATGTGGTATACTTGCGATATGCTTTGTATTGTAATAAGAAAAAAAACTGTTTCATTTTAAAAGAGACATATGATGGAGCATTGTCAGTTTTGATTTATGCAGGTATACCCATGATGGCCCTAACTTCTAGCAAATGTGTGATCACTGAATCAATGTTTTCAGAATTCAGAGCAGTTCCGCATTGAAATCGTGAATAAGTATCAATGGTGTGGTGTACTTATTTCAATTTTCCAAATTCTGCAAAGTGAAACACATCCATCTGCCAGATTTCATTCCTCTGAGTACCCTTTGGGTTACATCCTGCTGATAGTGGAGTCTGAATGTAAAATGAACAAGTAGGACATTTCCATATAATTTCCTTGGCTTGTTGCCAGATTATGGAAAAATCCTTTTATATACCTTTACAATTGACATGATATTTTTATGAAATTCTGAGGCCCCTAGCACAGTTCCTATCAATAGTTTAACAAACTCATCATAAACTTGTGCGGGGGGCCTGGCAGACCCATATAGGATCAGATGTAAGTTGTGTGTAAGGGATGCTTCCTATCTTGATTATATCTTGTGACTGAATAAATAACAAAGTTAATTCTGACTCATTGGGGATAAATTCCACAGTCTCGGTAATTAAGACCACTCTTTCAACATACTGAGAGTCAGTAACTATATTGAAATGTTCCAAAACATCCATTAATACCATCTCTTTTAAAGACTGAAGTTTCTCTGTTGTTAAAGGCCATTACTGAACCCATATATGCTTGTCTGTTAACCATTAAAAAGGTAGAGCTATTGGTGTCCTTAAAAGATCACCAGTTGTTGTGCCCTGTTTTTGTACAGTCTGGATGGCTGGTGACTACTCTTTATAATAATACCTCCTAATATTTCTGTCAGAAACATATATTAGGTTATGGTTTGATTCGGAGGTCAGAGGAATGTTAATCTGAGTATTCCATTGTTTTAATGGGTCATGGCCCCATAAATTCATAGCCCCATAAATTCATAGCCACATATTGCTTTAATTTTTCTCTCTGTCCTTCTGGACCTATACAGTCGACCCCTCTTCTGCTCTGTTTCACTTGAGATAAAGTTCCAGTCCCTATCAGCTCAAACTTTACATCCTGAAGGGGCCAATTTGGATGCTAAAATTCTGGTGCAATTATTACAATGACCACACTTGTGTCTACAAGACCTTCTAAGAGAACGTTATTTATTCACAAATTCAATTTTGCTCTTTGTTTATTTATAGAAGTTTGCCAAAAATTTTGCTTTATGGTTTCCCCTTAATTTCCTGCTATGTCTGCTATAGCTGATCTATCACCCTGAGCAGTATGGTTTATTCCAATAGGCATTTTTTTAATGATGGGAAGAAAAATATACCTAAAAGTGAAGCTTCTGGAAAAACTATTTGTTCTTCCCTGTCTTATATCTTTCTTCAAACTTGACCTTGAGTTTCAGAGCTGGGTCTCTAAAGACATCCTTGTTGACAAATGTTTTGTCTAAGGGGATGTCCACAGAGTACCTTGTGGACATGAGGTGATTGTAGTTATAAGCTTTCACAAAGGACTTGATCTTTGACCTCTTGGCGATTTTCTTCTTGCCCATAGCAGCTGTCACTTTTCGGGGATAGCGGTCAATTCCAGCCACCAGGGCATGGCTGTAAGGGAGGTCTGAGGTGCCATCATCAATGTTCTTCATGATGACAGCTTTGCATCTGGAGTAGCATCCAGCCAGGACCAGCACCACTTTCCTGGGTTTCATGAACTTGCCCATTTTGAAAGCAAGGAGCCAGTACCCAGCAGAAAGGAAAGACGGCATTTGGTTATTTTAATTGCTCTGAGAAGGGGTTTCTTCTATGATGGCAGGCAAGGACTGAATTTACTGTGGGGGCCCAATGGCAGTGGCAAAGGATTACCTTGTTTGTCCCTTGTTGATCTACATTCATTAGTCCAATACTTACTTTTACCACAACTTCTGCATAATCCAGAAGGGAGGGTCATTCTGTTGCCATTATTCCTTAAGAAACATTGTTTCTAGAAATACCCTGTTTATAGTCCCTTTTTAGGTGACCTTGTTTACCACAATTAAAGCATCTGATATTATTATTTTTCTTAAAAGCCCTTGAAATCACTTCTCTGATCCACATATCACCATGGTCATAAGACTCAATATTAAATGTATCCCTGATCCAATCCTCCAAGGTTCTGATTGTACCTTTAGTGGCCTGATTACCCTTTTGCATGCTGCATTCATGTTTTTAAAAGCCAAAGATTCAATTATTATCTGTATAGCTTCTGTATTTGGTATCATTCTATTTACTGCTGAAGACAGCCTTTGTAAAAAAGTCCATGAAAATTTCTTGGGTCCTATATAAATTTTGTAAATGATTCAATTTTCTTCTCAGCTTCCTCAGTTCTGTCCCATGCATTTTTGGCTACTATGCAGCATAGAATTAGGGTTTAGATATCATATAAACATTGTCTTTATATAACAGCATAATCACCTTCTCCAAGAAGCTGATCCTGGAAAATGTCCACACCTCTTGTCCTACATCATTGCTCTATAGTTTTAGCCTCCTCTTTTCACCACATTCTCCACTATAACTGTGGACTGACCTCTAGGACAGCTGTAACCAATTCTTTCCAGTCCTGAGGAATAATTCTATTACAAGTTGGTCATGAGTTTAACATCTGCTTTACTAATGGAGAATGCATGCCATATGATACTATAGCTTCTTTAAATCTCCTCAAAGCTAACATTTCCACTGGAGTCCAGTTAGATCATACACACCCTTGAGCATTTGGCAGTTCCTATAAGGTTAACAGGTAGATTAATTAGTTGCTGTCTGGTAACATGAGACTTTTTCTCTGTAATTGTGTAATTCAATTCTGAGACAGGTTCTCTTTTCATTCTTCTGTCTGGGTCTGAATTTCTCTGTAACTCATTTTAACAGGTTTTTCTAATGCTTTTCTCTTGGCACTCAAATTGACCAACCTTTTAAAAGCTAAAATAAAAACAATCAAATAAAAAAATAGTCATAATTGATGTCATGTACATCCCATCAACATTAATTATCCTCTCATTTTTTTTGTTCCACTTTAAGACTGCCTAATGTGTTATCAAACAGAGATCAAGTTCCTTCATTGTAAAAATGTTTCCCATTTTTTAATGTGAGAAAAATCTCTTTTAACTAATTTCTCCCTTTAAGATACCTTAATTGACTTACCAAGTCTGTTGACTGTGTAGAACAGTAGAAGTCTGAGGGAATTTCCAAGCAGCTACCTAGTGTGGTAGCAGTCCAAGATGGGAATCCAAAGAGAGCCCACCACCCACCAGTAGACAAAAAGCCAAAGATTGCCCATGAGGGATGGACATGCTGCTGTGTGCAGGTCTGGACTGAGTCATGTAGCTCAGGCCTGAACGGGGGGGGGGGGGTGCTTAAGGCCACAAATAGCTTTGTAGTAAATTCATGCCATAATCATTGGAGTGCCAATTGTAGACAAATTGCTAAATGGTCTTATTAAATAAAAACCTGTAGCCAAACATAGGGGTGAAAACCTGAGAGATCAGAGGAATAGGAAAAGACACAAGCTGACCTCACTTCACTGACACCTCAGTCTCCAAAGAGACCTATTTCCTGTACATACATGCCTCTATGAATTTCTGTTCTGCTATATCATTTGCCCTCTCCAGTGCTAGCTCTGCCACTTCTTGTCTGTTTGTAGAGACCTCCAGAATTCTACAGTTAGTGCTGGGATTAAAGCTGTGTGTCACCATGCTTGGCTCTATTCCCAGTGTGGCTTCGAACTCACAGAGATCCTGATAGATCCCTGCCTCCTGAATGATAAGATGAAAGGCATGTGCTACCATTGCCTAACTTCTGTGTTTACTACAGTAGCTAGCTTTTTTCCATTGATTTTCAGGTAAATATTATTGGGGAACATAGTATTTTGGAGGACACAGTACATCACCACACCTGACTCTGTTTGAAGATGGACTCTTACCTAGAAGCATAAACGGAGTAAATCTTTTCTTTCCCTAAGTTGTCTTTGGTTAGGATGATTTGTCACAGGAACAGAAAAGAATCTTGAACATTTAAGAAGAAAAGCATTCTGAGGATGGTGTATACAGTTAAAACCAGCTTATGAGATGTCTGAGGAGAGCAAGGAATCTGTCCAGAACTGGGCTATGGACTCTACTTGTAGTAGTTCCATCAAGATTTTGGCATCATTCTGATTTTGTCCTTTCAGCTTTAGTGAAGTTGAATTTAAAGCTAATGGACTAATTTGTGTGATAAAGAAAACTGTTTTAAACCTGCTTAAATCATTGGAAAGGAGCATGTAGACAGCATAGAAGCTGTATCTGTAGGAGAGTTTAGGATCATTAAGCAGAAGCCTGGTGTTCATAATTTAAAAAAAGGAGTCTTTAAAACAAGAACCTTAAATCTAATCTCCTTTGTTTAGCCTTTTTCCTGACCATTAACAATAAAAACTTGTAACCAACCATCCTAAACAATGACAATTATCCAAAACCTATTGAAAGACCAAAAACCACCCACACCACCTCTTGGGAATGTAGGTATTGTGTTCTTAAAATTACTTCCTGATCCACCCACCCTCTGAGACTACAACTGTTCCCTGAGACAGAGCCCACCAGTACCCAATTGGACTAAGAGTCCAGGCCAGTCAGCAGACAGGATAGACTACCACCATCCCCAATCAGACCCTGTAACCCACAAGCCCTACCTCCCCAAATCCCACCCACCCTCTGAGACTGCAAGTGTTCCCTGAGAAAGAGCCTGACAGTGGCTGATTGGACTAAGAGATTGCAGCTACTCCCTGAGACATGGCCCCAAAGCATCCATTGGACTAAGAGCTGCTCCATGAGATAAAGATTCCATTAGCACCAATTAGACCAAGAGCTCCTACTGGACCAAGAGTATCAATCAGACCAAGAGAGGCTCCCTCAGACACAGACACCAATTGCACCAAGTGGGGAAAGAGATGGGTAGATGCCAGTGCAAAAAATACAGTCAACAACATAAAAACCAATATGGTTCCATCAGAACCTACATCAGCATGATCTGAACATCCCAACACAGAAGACATAGAAGAAATCAACCTTAAAAATGACCTTAAGAAGATGATATAGATCTTTAAAGAGCAAATGAAATTTCCCTTAAAGAATTTGAGGAAAATCAAACAAAAAGTGGGAAGAAATCACTAAACCTCTTAAAGAAAGCCAAGAGAAAACAATTAAACAAGTTAGGGAAACAGTTCAAGATTTGAAAATTGAAATTGATGCAATAAAGAAGACACAAACTGAGGGAATGCTGGAAGTGGAAAATCTGAGTAAGTGAACAGGAATTACAGATGCAAGCATAACCAACAGAATGCAAGAGATGGAAGAGCAGAACTCTGGCATTGAAGATATGATAGAGGAAATAGATTCTTCAGTCAAAGAAAACACTAAAGACAAAAAAGTCATAACACAAAACGTCCAGGATATTTGGGACACCATGAAAAGACCAAACCTAAGAATAATAGGGATAGAAGAAGAAGAACACCAACTCAAAGGCACAGAAAATATATTCAACAAAATCATACAAGAAAACTTGCCCAACCTAAAGAAGGAAATGCCTATAAATATACAAGAAGGTTACAGAACACCAAATAGACTGGATCCAAAAAAAAGTCCCCTCATCACATAATAATCAAAACACTAAACACACAGAACAAAGAAAAAATATTAAGAGCAACAAAGGAAAAAGGCCAAATAACATATAAAGGCAGACCCATAAGAATAACACCTGACTTCTCAATGGAGACTCTAAAAGCCAGAAGGTCCTGGATAGACATTATGCAGACACAAAGAGACCATGGGTGCCAACCCAGACTATTATACCCAGCAAAATTTTCAATCAACATAGACAGAGTAAAAAAATATTCTATAATGAAATCAGACTTAAACAATATCTTTCCATGAATCCAGCCCTACAGAAAGGACTAGAAAAAAATCCAACCCATGAAAACACAGGCAATAGGTTGTCCCACACCAACAAATACCAAAGAAGGGCAACATACAACAATACCATGAAAAAATAAGAGGAATTAACAATAACTTGCCATTAATAACCATTAATATCAATGGTCTCAATTCACCTATAAAAAGACACAGGCTAACAGAATGGATACAAAAACAAGATCCATACTTCTGCTGCATACAGGAACCACATCTCAACTTCAAAGACAGACACTATCTCAGAATAAAAGGCTGGGAAAAGACTTTTCAATCAAATGGATTTAAGAAGCAAGTTGGTGTAGGTATCCTAATATCTAATAAAATAGACTTCAAACTAAAATCAATTGAAAGAGATCAGAAAGGACATTACATATTACCACTGGAAAAATCCAACAAGATGAAGTCTCAATTGTGAATATCTATGCCCCAAATACAAGGACACCTGCATTTGTAAAAGAAACATTACTAAAGCTTAAATCATACAACACACCCCATATACTAGTAGTGGGAGACTTCGACACCCCATTCTCACCAATGGACACAAACTTAACAGACAAATAAGGGAACTAGCAGAATGACTCAAATATACTTAATAGATATCTGCAGAATATTCCAACCTAATAAAAAAGAATACACCTTCTTCTCAGCACCCCATGGAAACTTTTCCAAAACTGACCACATGCTTGGTCACAAAGCAAATCTCAACAAATACAAAACAATTGGAATAACCTCCTGTATCTTATTGGACCACCATGGCTTAA